AAAAAAAAAAAAAAAGAAAATTTACTACACTTTGTCAACTACACCTTTTCTTTTTTAAACACACTCACTCATGATCTAACGATTCATATTTGCCCTCAATTATATTCTCCCCCAAAAACATTTTTACGATCTTTCTATATAAAAGAAGATATCCGTCAAATTAGTAAAAACATTTTACGACACTCGAACAACCATCACCACCCTACAGTTTCTCCACACCCACTAATCATAAACCGTCCACTTAAAAAACAACCAACCGGTAATCCCTCGATGATAACTCGAACCAACTTTCCTATAGTCGTAAAGGGAAATATATAAGTGACGATGGTAAAAAAGGATTGCCAGAAATGAAAATTCGAATTGACAGGTTTGACACACGCGTTTGAGGGCACACCTTGAAGACCCGTGGCCCGTGTTTTCGGGGGATGATGGTCACGGATGGTGGACGGTCAGGCCGGAGGGCAAACGGGCAATGTGACTTGTTCTGACAGAGGGAGTCAAGTGTTGGATTCTCCTCCGTGGTCCATACACACAAAGGCAGGAGGTGGGTGTGTGCGCGCCTGATTTTTACCAGCGTACTCCCGCCACGTCTGTGTGCCTTGTCGAGAGGAGCAACCACGCGTTTCTACGGGGTGGTCGGAATCTCTGATTGGAGATTTTAATTTGTCTCTGGACTGACGGATATAATTTCGAGGGATAACTCGCTCGAAAGGGGAGTTTTTATGGAGTTTGTTGGTACAAGCGGTTGGGAATCAGATTTTAGGAAGGAAGAATTTTTTACTCTCGATGAGTAATTGAGAACTTTGCGAAAATAGAGCAGATTCGTTAAAAATGGAAAAAAAATTGTTTGTGAAAATATTCCTTTGATTTAAAAAAATTAAAAAAATATATAATTAATAGTTGTTGAGTTGATAAGAATTTGTTTCAATTTTTGGCAAATTTGGATCTACTTTCGATTTATATAAAAATGCTAAAAAAAAAAAGATTACTTTTTGTTAACAATATACGATAGAACATTATAAATCATTATTGATTTATTACTTTATTTAAAAAAAAATAATATTTTCCGTTAAATGCGAGCTTTTGTCGCACAAAATTTATTTTTTATCAATTTGCAATTATCAGTTTGCAATTAATTTACAAAATCCGATGTGTAATAATTCAAAGATCGACAAAAATGAATTTGCTCTCTTTCGATGTAAAATCTTCGATTGTTTTATGTTTTCCTTTTAAATGTTTATTGATATGATTTTAATTGATCGCGTACAGAAGCTCTTGTACTCCAAGTTCTTTTTCATACTTGTTTAGGTACACGTTTTTGTAGAGAGGTTTTAGAGACAGTTTCGATGGTTGCTCGTTTCTCTTTTATGCCTTTTTTATAACAGATTCTTGAGCCCCATTCGGAACAGAGTATCTATGGCTTCTTAATTACGGTTTCAAAGTAACGTTTACAAATGTATCTTGTGCGACAAGATATCGCGAATCGATAATAATCAGAGATACAATGTATCAAAAAAATAGTTTCACTGTAAAATGTAATAACAAACAATTTTAACATCATAATAATTTGACTTTGAAACAATGGTTCTCAACCTGTGAATTGAGATTCGTGATGGATTCGTCATGTAGAGTTTTTTTTAGAAAATTTTTGTTGCCATTTGTAGAAATTAAGAATTATCCAAATCATTCTGTTCATTTTTTACTAATAAATCTTTTATATCTGGTTGTATGATAAAATAGAATTTTAAATTTTTGACGGTCTAAAATAATAAAAATAAATAAATAATCATAGAAAAAAATTTAGATTGTCATGGAAAGTGCAAAAATATACTTGCTTATGAAATTAATGATTTTACATGATTTTACTTTACTGTTGATTCTATTATTTTTATTATTTATTTTAATTGTAATCACATTGCCATATTCTATAAGGTGATTCACCCTATAATTCCAACAGATTCAAAAGCAGTTAATTTTTTTAATTATCCTTATCTTATCGCATTAAATATTATATGGATGATCGTAATATTATCATTTGAATATTATCAAAGATCATATCTCAAGAAACATAAGGAAACGTAAGATTTATATTATATCTACACATATTAAAATCCTCGAATTAAAATCCTTCTTTTTGATCTTTTACCAAATATTGAAAGATCAATCGATACTCGGTAAAGTGAAAAAAAGGGGGGGAAAAAATTCATTCGTATGCATGATAATTATGAGGATCGGAAGTGCAGGGACGATTAAGGAGATGGCAAATCCGTTTTTGCCGTGAGACAGCCATAACGCGGTGACTAACGTTGGGGCGGAGGAGAAGGCGCAAGGCCCGCCTATGCTCCAACAATCGAACCAATCCAGACATTCTACGAACGATGCTTCTAAAACCGGTGATTAAATCTCGATTCGCGTGATTAACGACATCTACAGTCTCATTATTTATTTCTTCCTTTTACAATTTTTTTTAAAGGTATGAAATGAAAATGAAAAGTAATAATAATTATCCCGTCAAATTAATATAATGATCCCTTCGAATCAAGAATCGTGTTATTGATCTTAATGATTTTATAGATGTCGCATTTCTTTTTTTTAATTTTAGTTTTTTCCCCCTTTTTTATGTGTTTCTTTTTTTTTTTTTTCAAAATACGATGCCTGTTGAATTTTTTGAAACTGATCAGGGGTGTTAGACAAGTGACAAGTAATGGCGATCACGGGGTATCGATTTCGTGACTGGATCAGTTGTTAGAATGGGGTTGGAAAGGAAAACAAAACAATCCATTTTTCTTGGCCGTCGGCAGGACGAGATCCTCTGGGTTCATCCTCGAGACCGCGACATCAACGAGCCGAAAGTAACATACTCCAGACGCGTTTTCCGAGACACCCTTGACGCTTTTCAAATTCGAAAATTCGTTTCGTTTAAATATACGATTGCATTATCTACCTGTCTTATCTTTAAAAAAAATCATCGATCAATCACGAATCTTTTGTTAGTTAAAAAAAAAAAATATCATCTTTATTAGATTATAGAATATTTTTTAATATAATATTAAAATTAAGAAAAAGTTTTATATTATTTGAATGAGATTTCAAGAAGATTTCGAATTTTCAAATTATCTTGTAAAAAATTGATTCATTTGTTCAAGCTGTAAAAAATTTAAATTATGCGATTATTTGTGTATGATTAATAGTGAAAAATAATTTGTCTCTAATCCTTCAAATTTAATCAAATATAATTTCTGCTAAATTAATTTTTGAGATACTATGAGTTTCGAATTTTTAATTATTTGTTTTTTTTTAAAATATGTCTTTGAAGTATTTCTGAACTTTATTATTTACTATCAATTATAATATTTTTTTCCTTAATTTTAAATTATGAATTTATCTATATATTAACAATAAATATTTAAAATAATATTCACAAGAATATTCATTCAAAATTATTTTTAATAAAAAATACTATATTAGCTAGAAAAAATTATATTATTATAAATTACTGCGATTTTTTAGATAAATACTTATATTCCTTCATACCAAAAATTTTCATTATAACTTAAAGAATTTTGTTATTATTTATTTATTATTATTAATTTTTTATATTTGGAAACACAATTATTATGATTAAATATTTATGAAATCTCTACCGTTTTTAAAAAAAGCAAATTCTTCTTTCTCGTTATAAATTATTTAATAAAAATAAATAACAAAATAAATTTGATTTAGTTCAGATTTTAATTTACTCTTACGAAAAAACAATTTTTATTTTCCTTAAATTACAGAGATGCAAAGAGAATTTTATTGTTTAATACTTTCTCGTTGTAATGTACTCTAGTTCAACGAGAATATTATGCAGAATTACACGAGGCGTACATGAATGCACGGCCGTGTAGTGCATGGTAGGCGCCAAGAGATACCGAGACGCCTATAGGCGCCTTCTTAATTGTGAGAAAGCGGCGCCGGCGTCGGGAGGGCCCGCGTCGTGGGAAGCCGCGGCGGGCCCTGGTCCCTCGATTTTTAAACAATTCTGGACCACTTTTCCTGGAGAAAATTCTAAAAAATCTTGGATACCTTTTTTTTTTTCACTTCAATTTTCAATGACCTAAATTATACGTTAAATACTAAATGCATTCATAATTGTTTTGCAGTTTTTTAAAAGATTTTTCTGTTTTTGTGAAATGTAATTCTTGCA